GGTGGGTCATTTTTGTGGTTTTTCATCCCCGAAGCACTGATGGATATTCATCCCCGAAGCACTGATGGATATTCATCATTTAGCTTCTGTTTCACGTTGTGAGTTGTGAATTAGCATTGGATCGTGAAAAAAAATGTATTTCCAAATGTGCAAATCCTGTAAGGGATAAATATAGCTGGCTTAAAAGTCTCAAGTGAAATGTTTGAAATAGTGTCTGTTGTTTTTCCTTTCGATTGTTAATGTATTGGGAGCTGGATATTGCACTGTGGAAGCATTCCATTTATGCACCCGTACAGGTGTTGGTTAGTTTATTTTTTATCTTGGTAAATTGTTTTAGAATTTCTGAAAAAGAAAGATACTAGGAGGAGCTCAGGGTAATTATGGAACCAGACCCATCTCTGTTCAAATTGTTAGCTTTAAAACAAGGAATTATCGTGAGTATTAACTAAATTTTGCATTGATCAATTTTGATATTTTCAAACTCGGTGGATGTTGATTTATAGGAGAATTGTCTTCTGTCTTTTTCCAGGCAAATATTTGATGGGCCAAGACAATGTAATATTTCCGTGGTACAAAACCAAGTGTGACTAACTGCTCCTACCAAACAGCAGGTATGTTACCACTGTCAGATCGGAGAGTGTCCTTTCCACAGTCACAGAGCTGATTAAGACTTGCATTGAGCTCAATTCCCAGAGATAAATATTCAATCCAAGTGTCAAACACCACCAACAAAATATAAATGTATTACGTTTTTTTTTCTGTATAAACTAGCGCATTTCCAGGAAAGTTCATTTTTAAAAGCCCATTGTCATTCACAGTTTTTGAAGAGGGATAGATTGAATCTTCTTCACAAATATGCACTCAATAACTGCATTGAATGCATGTTAAGTAAGGCCATTTTTAAAGTTACATTCAAAGTATACAAATAGATTAAGCTGTTACATCGTTACAATGACCTTATGAAGTAGATATTGAGTATAAACATAGAAGGAAACTTTTGATGTTATCAGTGACTGAGGAGGGCTAAAGTAATAAATAGATGATTCTGCAAAGGCTCAGCAGACCTGGCAGTATCTGTGAAGAGAAATCAGAGTTAACGTTTCAGATCCAGTGACCTTTGTTCAGAAACGTTAACTCTGATTTCTCCTCACAGATGCTGCCAGATCTGCTTAGCGTTTAAAACAAATTCTGTTTTTGTTTATGACTTACAGCAGCTGCAGTTTTTTGAGTCTTTATTTAGGACTCAAATCATCTTTTGATGAATAGATGTCCCATACAAAGACACAACAATTAAATAATGTGAAATGCAAATTCACTTTCTGTGCCAAAGCCTGACAAGCAGAGAATGCAGCGTGGACTGTCAGATGCAGAATAAAGCTCTCTAAATAAATTAAAAATAAAACAATATCCCAATGCAAAATAAAACTAAGTGTCTCAGTGATACCGTAGAACCCTAAAAAACAAAATAGCCTGCACTGACTTACAGGACCAGGTTTTTTTCAAAATAGGCTTGTCTGTCCATTTCTACATGATATCTTTATCCTGATATGCTATACAACAGGATGTAATTTCCTTTATCATCAGAAATACGGACTTGGCACAAGTACAGAAGAAGGCCGTTCAGCCCATCGTGTTTGCACTCAGACATTTGTATTCTTTATCTGTTCTGCATACCAGTTTCCACTAATTGTTGAGACTATGAACTGTATCCCCATCTGCTCTCCACCTCCTTACCCCCACAGACTGACAGACAGCTCATAAATCTCAAATGCAACCGGGATTAAGGCTCACTCTCCACACTCTCATAACTACTCTCTCCAAATGAAGCAATGTCACAGAATATTACTGGCAGTCAGATGCACAAGAGTAGAAATTGATGAGTACAGATTGAGAACTTCACTCTCTCAGTCACACAGCACAAACTGACATATCTGGAACAATTACTAAACTCACAAATAGACATAACAGAAACTGAAATGCATAAATTAATAGCTGCTCTCACATACACACGTTGCAGAAACTGACAAGAGAATGATAATTACACATACTTTCTCATAGCTCAAAACAGGAGAGGACTTATACAGTTAATGGGAGGGCCATGGGAAGTGTTACCAAACAAACTGACCTCGGGGTTCATGTGTATAGTGGATTCGCAAGTAGATAAGATGGTGAAGAAAGCGTTTGACACACTTGCCTTCATTGGTCAGTGCATTGAGATTAGGAGTTGAGATGTCATGTTGCAGCTGTATAGGAAATTTGTTAAGTCGGCTTTTACTGCATGAAGTTCTGGTCACCCTGCTGTAGGAAGGAAGTTGTTGAACTGGAGAGGGTACAGACAATTTTTACAAAGATGTTGCCGGGACTAGATGGCGTGAACTGTTTGGAGATTCTGAACGGGCTGGGGCTTTCTACCCTGGAGCATCAGAGGGGTGACATTACAGATGTTTTATAAAATCATGAGGGGGATGGATAGGGTGAATAGACAAGGTCTTTTTCCTCTGGTGGGGGACCCCAAACCTTAAGGGCATGGGTTTACAGTGAGAGGGTCAATGTTAAAAAAAGACCTGAGGGAGAATTCTTTAGTCCAGGGTGTGGGGCATGTATGGAACAAGCTGCCAGAGGAACTCCTGGTGGCGGGTACAATTATAACTTTTAAACGCCATCTGGATGGGGACGTGAACTGGAAGGCTTCAGAGGGATATGTGCAAAATGTTGGCAAATGGGACTAGGTCAGATTGGGATGTCAATCTAGCACAGACAAGTTGGATCAATGGGTCTGTTTCCATGCTGTTTCACTCTTGGACGCTATGACTCTATAACTGAACTTGCACACAAATGCAGGTGCTGCAAGGACAGGTCAGAGGCTGGGAATCCTGCAGTGAGTAACTGGCCTCCTGAATGCCCAATTCCTGTCCACCATCTAATATAATCATCAGGGATGTGATGGCTGAGCCCCACTTATCTGGATGAGTGCAGCACCACAAACACACCAGAAGCAAGACACCATCCAGGAAAAATACACTTGATTGGCTCTACATCCACATACATCCATTCCCTCAACCACCAATGTTCAGAAGCAGCAGTGTGTACCTTCCACAAGATGCACAGCTGAAATTCACCAATGCTCCTGAGACAGTGCCTTCCAAACCCACGACCGCTTCCATCTAGACACCACTGTGACACAAGGTGCCATCCAATAGTTACGTGTTGCCTCAGTAAGAATGTCCCATTTCTTTCAAATCTCTGTATGCTCTTTCGACATCGAGTTAATACTTATGGGATAAAGTTCAAGGTGAGTATAATACAATTAACAGCTCAATTGGATCAGATATTGTGCCATTGAACAGTGGAACAAATTGAATGGGCCGAATGTCAAACAGCTTCTTTGATTCCTTGCAGGAGTGAAACTCCAGACCTAAGACAAAGACTCGGGGGGTAGGCAGAATTCAGGCCCATGGCTGTATTTAATCAAGCAGTCACCAGATCATGCAGGGAGAGGGCCACAGCCACCCCTCTCCCGATGATGCAGTTATCCCATTAATCTTTAGCTCAAATTGGAAGAGAAGTTGATGACGCTGTGATCTTTGCAGTGGAATGCAGTATTTTTGTGCATTTTGTGTTACAATAATCCCATACAATGGGATCACTGTGCCCTTCCCCTTACTCTATACATCCAATCCTTTGAAACACGTAATTGTTGATGGACACTCCAATAGCCAGGCCGAGGTTTGCCACGATCTCATGATGTTTAACAGACAATGTAATCACCAGGCCTTGGGATCTTTCCATGCATCCTATTAATTCGCTTTCCAAAGTTACCGGCAGTGCACCTTCGGTCATGCCCCAGGCTTGCTTGTCTCTAAGACCTGCTTGAATTCTGTTGTTCATTGTATGCATTTGCTATCTCTCTCAAATTCTGTTTCTCTTCATATTTTCCCACTGTCCGAATTATAAAAAAGAAAACAGTTGATTCTTACTCGGAGGACAGGCAGCATCAGAGGAGCAGGAAAGCTGACATTTCTGAGGAAGGGTCCCTACCCAAAATGTCAACTTTCCTGCTCCTCTAATGCTGCCTGGCCTGCTGTGTTCCTTCAGCATTGGCAGTTCTTATTATCTCTGAGTTGATTCTCACTAATTGCTATAAAGTTCATGATATTAATTCTATTATAAAGTTAGTTATATGTAAAGTCGTTACGTGTACCTGTACTGTTAGCACTCTTTATATAATGAGTTGTGAGACAATTGTTTCTTACAGGTTGCACCAGGCATTCCTTTAGTGATATAGGAAAGCTTCCAGAGATTAATTAACTTTCATATCTATATTTGAATCTTCTCCCCTAATGCTTTAGTGATATTTGTAATTTATTATATATGTATATTTAGAATTACATTGAAATCTATCTGAAGGATCTTTAACTGGAACCAATTTCTTAATATTGTGAATAATTTCAAAAAACAACTAATTGCTGCAAAATGGTGTTATCTGCTGTTTTCATGATGAGCTAGGCCGACTGTCTTCTGGGATGATTTACACCCCTTGTCCTAACTAACTCTGTTCACCTAATGGGACAACATCCTTTCATTAATGAGACTGAAATCAATCACTTATCGAATTTAATGAACTTGTTTGATCCTGGAGAGTTTTTATGAGCCACAATCCCATTAGTTCATCTGTTTGTTATTGCAGGAGTTTACTATCCCCTTCAATGTTTGTTGCAAATCTTCAAGCTGTCTCTAACAAATCTTCTTGCAGCTGTTGTTTGTGCAATGCTCCCTTTTGCCTCGGAATAACCCCTTCTCAAATGTTTCATTGTGTCTTTGTCAAATGCTGGAGCAGGCTTTTCATTCTGTTTAACCACTTGTCAGCCATATTCAGCAGGGCTAGAGGGACAGCTTAGCTGCCAGCCATTTTGTGTCTGTTAGACATCAGCAGCCCTAACATTCCTCATTAGATTCTGAGAGAGCTGGAGGCAGGGAGTTATTAACACGACCTGGGAATGAGCTCCATTGTAGCTTCATAAAGGGCCAATGCCCCAGTTTGAAACATTCTCTGCCCTTTTTCCCACAGCCCCAGTTGTTTTGCTCACAGTGGGAGAAAAGGGAATTAGGGAAATGACCCATTGATGTTTGTTGCTGGGAATTATTGGGAAAAGCAGCACATGCTGATGCTGGCCCTGCCCCAAATGCTGCTTGTTTGGCTACTGTTTGTTGACATTGTGCAATGAATAGTGGAAACACAGACAAGACTGTGGAAATATAAGAATCCTGTAAAGGACGTAGATTGGAGTCAACAGATTATATGTCTCAAGTAAAAACGTTTGAAATAGTACCTGTTGTTCTTCTTTTCAACAGTTAGTGTGTTGGGATCTGGTAACACAAACTTGTCAATATTGCAGCATCTTCACGTAGCACCTTAGATGGAGCCATGCAATTGTTGTTTGGTTTCTGGATCTCACTCAATTGGGAAATAAACAATCCTCCCACAAGGAGCAGCTCAAGGTAAAATGGAATCTGACCTGTGTTTGAATTGATGGCTTCAAAGAAAAGACAGAAGTCTCATGACACTGTGTTATAGTCCAACAGGTTTATTTAAAATTACAAGCTTTCAGAGCTCTGCTCTTTCGTCAGGTAAAGTTGAAGAAAAGAAACATCCTAATAATTATCAACTGAATATACATTAATATGTTTGAGATTGTCAAACTTGGCTGATGCTGATTTACAGAAGGTATTTCTTCTGTTTTCCTCCAGGCAAATACATGAAGGAACAAGACAGTGTAGCATTTCCTTGGTACAAAGCCAAGTGTGAGCAGCTGCTTCTCACAAACAGCAGGTATGTTACCACTGTCAGAATGGAGAACATCCTTTCCACAGGCACAGAGCAGTTTGAGTCAGAGACACGTTGAACTCAATTTCCAGTGATATGCATTCAAGCCAACAGTCAAACACAACCAACAAAATACAAATAGTTTTTTTCTCTCTTTTTCTCAATGCACACCTCCACAGTTGCAACAGTTTCCTTCATTCATAGCCTACTGACATTTACAACATTTTTGAAAAGGGATAGACTGAATCTTCATCTGAAACAGACACGAAGGAACGGCAGTAAATCTGCATTTAGTAAGCATGTTTTTAAAGTTACTGTCAAGGTGAAGAAATAGTTCATGCTGTTACATAGTTACACCAACTATATGTGAAGTAGATAATGAGTACAGATATGGAAGAAAACATTCACATTATCAGTAACTGAGCAGGCCAGTATTAATGTTTTGACAAATAGATGTCCCAGGCATAGAGAGAACAATTAAATAATGTGACTTCCAAATGCGTGACATAGAATGGTTACTGAGTGCGCACATAACATAAACAGCACATGCACACACACACACTCCCCCTACTGAGTGATTTACAATGAGTTGCAAATACATACATACATTGTTATGACACACGTGCTTCAACATCTAACAGCCGTGAAGACCATATACACTTCAAGCCTCAGAACATGTAACACTCAAAATGATTTCTACTCACAGATTTCGGGTCAGAGAGCTAGCCTTTCATGATAAGAGACAACCAGAACAGAACATGAGCTAAGTACTTCAATCTCCGTGTACTCCCTATAGATTTAAATACACGGTAATTGCCATGGTCAGAAAGTAAATTATCAATTGTTCGCTACATCGGAAAAAATTGTGTGAATTTTTTTGACATGCTGAATTCCCATGAAGTAGTCCAAGAAGTAGATTGAACAAGAGATTAATTGCACCTCCAAATATCTCACCATGTCTGAGACTTAGAGAGGTTATTAAAGTACTTTTTTTCCTTTTGTACAACAGGAGGAATTGCATATCAGGACAAGTTTCAGATTTAACCCTATATTGCCATTGAATTTGTTTGTACAACTCGACGAACTGAATAGCAGAACCCATCTGATACACTACTGCTGAATATAAAGTTTGTTATTAAATGGACCAGAAGGAAATCGAATATTGACCTGAAAAGATACAGCAAATAACATACATTCAAGCAGATACCAAGATTGTTGACTCACAATTAAGAACGTCTCGCACAGTGAGCTTGCAACAAATGAACATTAAGCTCTAAACACAATCAGACCAGAGACTGACCAATATTAGAATAAAACTTCAACTGTACTATAGACTGAATATTGTGGAATATACTCAACCTTCAGGCACATTGCTAGAGCCAGAGAATGGTATAAACACTGACAATTTCACTTACAGCACCTTACACACATGGCTGCAAATAAAATCTGATTCATGTTGATGAGCAGATATTTGAACATCAAAGAAAACCTGCAGCTTTCGAAACTGCAATATTCAGCTGAAACTGAGAGTCACAGATCAATGACTTCACTTGCATATTCACACAGCAGAAACTTGACAGGGAGAGAATGATAAATGCATTCACACATTCACAAATCAGATAGTGACAGGCATAGGTTAATATCTAGTTTCTCAGATTTACAGGGCAGGATCTGACTGACACAAATGGCTAAATACACTCACACAGCCATAGAGAAGAAAGTGACAGGCACATATTGATAACTACACTCTCCTATTCACATAACAGAAAATGACAGGGACAGAATGATAATTATGCACACGTTCAGACTGCAAAAAACTGACAGGTACAGATTGATAAATGCATGCACGCATTACAAAAAAGCATAAACATATAGAGATTGATGACTACACTTGCACATTCACAGAAAAATTTGACATGTATATATTTGCAATACACTCCCGCATTCATGAAGCAGGAATTGATGGGTATTGATTGACAACTAAACTCACATATTACACAGCAGAAACTGAGAGGGACAGATTGATGATTACACTCCCATCTTCATGTGACAGCTACTGACAAGGTATAGATCAATAACTACACTCAATTCTTCACAAAACCAAAGTTAACAGGTACAGATTAATAACTAAATTCCCATCTTGATGAACCAGAAGCTGACAGGTACAGATTTATAGCAACGCTCACATATTCCCCAAGCAGAAACTGACAGGAATATATCAAAAACTAAACTACACATTCATAGAGCAGAAACTATCAGGGATAGACTGACAATTGCACAAATACATTTGAATATTCTGATTTCAGATACTGACAGGGACACGTTGACAACTACTTTCATTCATTCATGTAGCTGAAACTGATGGGGAGAGAATGGTAAATGCATTCACACGTTCACAAACCAGAAACAGGTACAGATTAATAACTACACTTTTGGATGCACAGAGGAGAAACTGAAAGTTAGATTGGTAAATATACTCATGCTAGCACATAGCAGAAACTGACATGGATAGAATGATAATACTTCTGGTTTCACCCAGCAAAAACTGACAGGTACAGCTTGATAACTGTACTTAGATATTTACAAAGCAGAATTTGACAGTAAAAATTGATAACTGCACAGATTGAAGAGCAGAAACTTGATTGACATAGATTGACAACTTTATTCACACATTCAATTTGCAGAAACTGACGTAAAATTTGATAAAAACCAAAAGAACTGTGGATGCTGTAAATCAGGAACAAAAACAGAATTTGCTGGAAAAGCTCAGCAGGTCTGGTAGCATCTGTGAAGAGAAAGTCAGAGTTAATGTTTCAGGTCCAGTGACACTTCCTCAGAACTGGGTAAAATTTGATAACTACACTCGCATATTAACAGAGCAGAATCTGACAAGGACAGACCGATAACTAGACTCACACATTTACAAAAGCTGAAATTGACAGATAAGGATCGGTGATGACATTCACATAGAAGAAACTGGCAAGTGCAAACTGATAACTGTATTTAAATATTCACGCAGCAGAAACTGACAGACATAGATTGGTCATTACATTCACATATTCACATCATAGAAACCAACAAGTATAAATTGAGATAACAAGGTGCAGAGCTGGATGAACACAGCAGGCCAAGCAGCATCAGAGGAGCAGGAAAGCTGATGTTTCGGGCCTAGACCCTTCTTCAGAAAGATTCTTCAGTATAGATTGATAACTGCACGTAAACATTCACATGGCAGAAACTAACATGAACAGTTTGATGACTAAACTCTCATATCTGCATTGCAGAAACAGACAGGGACGGATTTCTGTGTGAATATATAAATGTCTTTATCAGTCAGTCCCTGTCAATTTTGGAAACCGAATTTAAGTAGGAACTGAATTAAATCTCCATTTATTAAAGATATTTTTCAAGTTAGAATCCAGATGATCACTCTGTTATATTGTTTTAACAATCTTCTGAGAGGTGGATGTTAAATACAGATGTAGAAGAAATTGCATTCTCAGACAGGTCATGAGTCACCGAAATAAAGAATGAATGACACTTAAGGTTCTGAGGAAGGGTCACCGGACCCGAAACGTTAATTCTGATTTTTTTTCTTCACAGATGCTGCCAGACCTGCTGAGCTTTTCCAGCAACTTTGTTTTTGTGTTGTGAATGACACATATGTTTAGTTTACCAGTAACTGATCAGGGCAGAGTTGTTCCTTTCATAAATATTTATCCCATATATAAACATAACAAATAAATAATGTGAATTCCAAACACATTTTCCTGACATAGAAAAGCCAAGGAACTGCAGATGCTGGAAATCAAACAAAAGTAGAAATTTCTGCAAAAACTCAGCAAATCTGTCAGCATCTGAGAAGAGAAACGAGTGTTCTGAAGTTGAACCTCTGTTCTGAAGAAGTGTCACAGGACCTGTAATAATAACTCTGCTTGGTCTCCATGTGGACGGACCGACAGACACAGGTACTGACTGATTCAGAATTAGTTCAAAACACAAACATCATAACTACAGACGTGATCCAAAGACTAACAGCTATGGAGTTCCATTTAAACTCCAGGTAACAGAAACATGATATATACAAAATGATTATCTCTCACACCTATATGGGCAGAGATGACTGCAGCACAGCAAACAGTCCTTTCTCTCATCGAGTCTGCACTGGTTAGAAACAACCAGCCAATAATTCTCCACCCATTCAGCCAGCATTCAATTTCCATAAATATATCATTGTGGCGGAGGAACTACCATCTCCACCTTTATCGCAGGATAGTTCTCAATTTCTTTATCCAGCAGGAGTAGATTTTTTATTATTCTGTCATAAGCAAGAAGACATATTTTTTTCAAATTAGCTTAAATAGTAACTGGCTGTCCACTTTGCAAGAACCATTTAAACTGCTCAGTAGCAGAATGCAGGAAGATTGAAGGAGAGAGATAGTAGGAACTGCAGATGCTGGAGAATCTGAGACAACAAGGTGCAGAGCTGGATGAACACAACAGGCTAAGCAGCATCATAGGAGCAGAGGCTGCCCGACTTGTTTCATAACAACTGCTCTTTTCCAAAAAATTCTCATTATATAAAATCTGGGTATTTCTACAACAGTCCTCAGTATTAAATTTTAATTTCCAAGTTCTTCACAAAATAATCTGGCTCTCCTCTGTTGATGGTCTGTCACATATGAACTAAGTTTTGAAGGACAATAGATTGAATCCTGCAGCGTTGTGGGATTTGTGCAGGAAAATGCGATTATGGTGGTCATCTGGTGGTGTTCGGGTAAGCATGGACATGATGCATCAAACGGCCTCCTTCTGTCCTGTATCATTTAAGTTTATCTGTAGTTCTAGATCAATCTGTCTCTGTCAGTCTCTGCTGTGTAATACATAAATAATTTGCCAAACGTTTAGAGGGACACATTGATGATGACACTCACACATTCAACAAGTAGGAACTGACATGAATAGGTCAAGAACTAAACTCATATCCACAGACAAGCTTGCATTGGGTAATTCCAGTTATGGAGCTGTACAGGTATCGGTTACTCAATTAGTGTTGAAGTTTTTAAAATTGATCAGACAAAGAGCACCTCAGGGCAAGAGTGGAATCAGCAACATAGTTATGTTAGAATTTCTGGCGATAAATAAAATATCCAAATGATTATTAACTAAACATTGCATTGATCAGTTAAATATTTCCAAACCCAACTAAATGTTGGTTTACAGGAGCTATCTCTTCTGTCTTCCTGACGGACAATCACTTGATGGACCAAGGCAAAGTAACATTTCTTCAGTACAGAGCCAAGTGTGACCAGCTCCTTCTAACAAACAGCAGGTATGTTCCCACTGTCAGAGCACAGAATATCCTTTCCACAGTCACAGAGCGGATTGAGTCAGACACACATTGAGCTCAATTTCCAGACAGATATGTTCAAATCGAGAGTAAAACAACACGGAGGAAATGCAACTTCATTTTTCTTTTCTCTCCAGGAACTGCAGATGCTGGAAATCAAAGAAAAATAGAAATTTCTGCAAAAACTCAGCAAATCTGTCAGCATCTGTGAAGAGAAACGAGTGTTCTGAAGTTGAACCTCTGTTCTGAAGAATTGTCACAGGACTTGTAATAATAACTCTGCTTTGTCTCCATGTGGACGGACCGACAGACACAAGTACTGACTGATTCAGAATTAGTTCAAAACACAAACATCATAACTACAGACGTGATCCAAAGACTAACAGCTATGGAGTTCCATTTAACTCCAGGTAACAGAAACATGATATACACAAAATGATTATCTCTCACACATATATACCCAGTTCCAACAAATTTCACCATTCATAGCCCATTGACATTTACACCATTTTTGAAGATGGATGGACTGAATCCTTGTCCAAAGTATACACTCAGGAATTGGATTAAATCTGTATAAAATTACTCTAATAACAATTATCACATAATGAATCATACCTCCACTGATAACTCTCCCAGTTTCACAGAATATGAACTGACACGCATAAACCTAACAAATTGTCATGTAGAGATCGATTACTAAACTCTCAATCACGTAGCAGACTCTGACAGGTAAAGACTGATGACAACAGTTATATATTTACATAGCAGGAACTGACAGGCATAGTTGGATAACCACACTCACATATTAACATAGCAGAAACTGAAAGGAGCAGTTTAGTAACTATAGTCACACAATTGAATGACAGAAACTGACAGGGGCACATTGATGACAACACATTCACATGACAAACTGACAGGTACAGATTGATAACTAAACTCCCATATTCACATAGCAGAAACTTTGAGGTAGAGACCGATAATGACAGTCATACATTCACAGAACAGGAGCTCACAGGCATAGGTTGGTAACTGCATTCACGTATCTTCATAGCTGAAACTCTCACTTAGAAGAGAACCTGTTATGGATAGACTGAAAATGTATTCATCA